ACCTTTTTCTTTTGCATTGTTTTTCTAACTTTGTAATCCTGATACTAGTACATTGTTGGACATTTTATGCTGTCTGATTATACTGTTTCTATTGTATGATTTGCCTTGAGTCTCAGCGAGAAAACAAAGCTAGAAATAAATAAACTTAAAGCTTTGCATTTTAGGGGGGATTCCTCCATGAATTTTAGGAACGGCAATTTAGGTAGTGTTCCATTTGCCCCCCCCAGTTGGAGTAACGAGACGGACAACAGTTTGGATCAAACAAGGGCCACTTTATTAACTATATACAGTTTATTAACCACAAAACGGCAAGGGAACATTTCCTAAGTAGCGGAACAGACAAGGCAGGTGTCAGGCTGACCAGCCTCCTTGTCTAATATGTGGGCGAGCCACCAACCCCGGTCTTGAGCCATTAATCTGGCTCGTGACCAGCAGCCTAGCCACTGGTAGCCTCCCAGGAGCGCCTACCCCTGAAACCATACAGCTTGCAGAGAGGAGCTTACCCAAGAGGTTCCCAGAGGGAATCATCATTCACTGCCCAGGGCCTTACAAACCCGCAGGCCGTTCCTGAAACCCCCCCCGGTTCCCAAAACAAGGAATGGCTTAAGGTGCTCACCATTTTCCGCTTCCTATTAGGAATGGCAATTTAGGTAGTGTTCCATTTGGCCCAGGACTTTGTTTTGGGTTATGGTACTCACTAGTACTGGGTTGTTGTTGTTGTTGTTCAGTCGCACAGTCGAGTCCGACTCTTCGCGACCCCATGGACCAGATCACGTACTGGCACCCCTTTTCAGGGCTCTCCCGACTCCCTGAGAAGTTGTGGAAATTGGCACAACTTTATATAGGAGTACTCACACTTTTTTTTTTACACAAAAAGCGTGACTTTTGCCACAGAAATTTCAGCAGTGCAACATGCATTACTCACTTAATCTAAACACTGCCATATACCTGAATATATCATACTCCATAAATTAAAATGACTTAGTCTCCACATTTGAATTTGTTCGTTTTTTAAAATCCCACTTTTCAGTCAAAAATTACTTCCCAAGTGTCTTATAGCAATTAAAAATGAACACTCCTGTCTGCTAAAATGCAGTGTGATGAGTTCTCAGTCAAAGCAATATTGAAGGGGGCTGGTTGCTCCTTTCTCCCTCTGGCTTTGCTGATGGCAACTGGTAATTGGGTGGAGGGGATCTCTCAGCTGAGCCTAGTTCCAGACAGGATGGTGGGGTGCCTGTCTGCTGGTGCTGCTTCTTGCTGCTCGAAGTTGGTATAGAACAGTTCCTGAATGTGTAATGTTGAAGGCCAGTTCATATATACATGTATGCCCATCATTAGATTACTCACCTCTCATGCTAAACCTAGTGAACCAGCTATGTTGTAAAAAACTGATAAAGATACAAGCAGTAATTTTATATGGGTAATAGTGGCTTTCTAGATTTGTTTGGCTTTCTTCCTTCAAGGAGGCAGACACCCCCCCCATGCTATATCACAGGAAAGAGGTATTGGTTGAGAAACATGTTCAGAATCCCCTTTGGGAGTACAGAGCTAGTTGTACTGTTCCCTGGATCCAGTTCATTGTGTTTAAGTGAATTAATATGAAAACTTTACCTGCCTGCCTGTCTGTTTTGCTTGTCCGCTAAGAAGTTCAGTGCAGCCTCTTAGCTTAAGTCAACAGTCTTTTAAGGTAGGTTAGGCTGAGAGTAACTGGCTGAGAGTGACTGTGAACACTGGTCTCTGAGGTCTCAATCTGATACTCAGATCCTTTCTCCTAAGTAGTATGTGATCTGTGATGGCGCGTTAATGACTGGCTCTTTGATTATCATTCATTAATTCGTTCATTCATTGGACTTGTAGACCACCCTCCCCCTACACAGGGCTGAGGGCAGTTAAACATAATTACAAGTCAGTTAAAAGGTAAGAACAATGGAAACAAAACAATGCAGTTACATAGTTTAGATTCAGATTCCAATTTCTGATGGAGTTTAGACAGTTTACAATCTTCTCCATAAGTGGAGAGGGGAGACAAGGTGGAGGCCAGTCTTAGGGTTGCCAAATTGGACTTACCTCGCCGGCGGGGGACTCTGGGGTGGCTCCTGGAGCGTGCGCGCGTGGAGCGTGCGTGTGCCACATGCACGTCAAAGGGAAGTGACGTCATGACGCTGGGCACGCTGGGGGCGGGGCCACAGCCATTTGAGGGGAAAACATAGAGTTTCCCCCTCAAATGGCTGTGGCCCTTTTTTTTGGCAGCCCTAGCCAGTCTCGATGGAGACCGCTGCTGTCCTCAACCATAGGTCTGGCAGAACATCTCTCTCTTACAGGTCCTGTGGAACTGTACTAGGTCCCACAGGGTGTGGATGTCACTCGTCAGAGAGTTCCACCAGGTCAGTACCAGGGCCGAAAAAGCCTTGGCTCTTGGTGAGGACAGCTGGATGTTTTTCGGGCCAGACACCATTCAGTGCAGCTATTAACATCTGATGGGAAGTTAACAAATGGTGACTCTTCATCTTGTCCTTTTCATGATGCAGTCTGTACTCACTGTTCTGCCCTCCCCCAGTTAAATTTAAGATCGAGTAGATTTTAGCTTAGCATATTTCTTGCTTGAAGGCACACCTATATATTTTCTACATGTGGCATCTGAGTGCAAACTCAATATGACAAATTATTAATGTCCAAATGCAGAAGATCTATATGGATTTTGCATTCTGATATAATATTTTTGGTATCATTTTCACTAGGGAAAAGAAGTTACAACCAGTTCAACTCATGCAAAATTAGTATATCCCACACTGACGTTTGAGTGAAATTGCAATGCAGATTTTAAATTTGGAAAGTATCATTTCTGTGAGTTTCTGCTGTCGTCTTGTCATTGTTTCAGAAAGCTTGAGTTGATAATTTGGAAGACTCCGTATTGCAGAGTTAAGCATAAACTCTAAGCTGTTTATAGCCTAGCTGTTCAGTGCTGTTTAACTTCAGCCAATAAAACTAAGTGAACACAGTTTGCAAAATAACTAGCTGAGCCCTCGGGCTGTTGGAGCATAAAACAGGTATCAGCTAGCAAAACAAAGTAGTTCCGTGTACTCTCACCACACTGCGTAGCTGCAGATTATTGTTGAACAGAGCACAATTTCACTTGCTGATCATGCCAATTTTTACGTTTGTTTCAGAACATGGGACCCTGAAACACGAGGTGAGTGTTCCGTTTTTTTTTAAAAGGCTTGATTTGACATTTCTTTTGTGAATGACTTAAAATGCTCCTTTCTGTATGTATCTACAGTAACATGACAGACTCCTCTGCCTTCCTGCAGTCACAGTTGTGATCACTAAGGAGTTGAAAAATGCAGAGCTTTGAACCCCTTCTGCAAACTTCAGAATTTAAAAGTGAAACAAAGGGCATGTTCTAGTCAAGATCAAACCTTTCCAATTCTCATGCATCTCAACAGGAGGGAGTTAAGCAAATGTGTAATTCTGTCTTTAAAAGTGTTGGGACGTGATGTACTTTACCTTTGTTGGATCATGGTTTAAATTTGTGATGAATGGCAGGCAATTTGTCTAGTTTTATTCAAACTTAAGGCATTTGTACGAAAGTACAGGGGGACTAAGAAAGGCAGTAATTCCAGAGGGATAGCCTATCAAGGCAAAAATAAACAGGAGTTCAGTGGCGCTTGTAAAGACTAGCAGGTTCTCATTCCAGTGTAGGTTTTTTGCAGACTACAGCCTTTGTCAGAGGCAGTTCTGTTTAAATTCAAGATTATGAACCATCGTGTAAATTAGGAGTGGAATTTCCAAACAGATTAACATTTTCATAACATACTAACAACAAGATACATGTATGATCATAATTTGCAGTAGTTCTTAGGATGTTGCTGCAGAAAATGTAGCCAAATCCAGGCTTGGACTGAATTTTTACTGTAAGATTACTTGAATCTTTGCCATGATGCCAACAGACATAACAATGGCAAATGGCATTTTGTACAGTGAGGCCCTGGAAGAGGGGATGGTTTTAAAAATTCAGAGCACCAGTGCATTGATTCTTTCTTACCCCTTTATACAGCTGTGAAATATAGGAGGATGAGAAAAAAGTAGATCACAAAAAGGCTACTTGTGGACCACCCTTTAATCCTCCAATGTTTAATATCCTGCTGTGATTTTGGAGTGTAGTTTTCTTAACTTCGGAAGGGCTTTATGTGAAATTGTAAGTTTAAGGTGTGCTCAGAATTGTGGATTTACTCCTAATTCATTCTTTGGTGAAGTGGCAATATAGAGGTTTTTACTTGGAATTGACAATTAACCTCTGAGTGAATTAAAGTGGTCCTCAGAATTCTGCTTCTTCTGGATCATGAAGGTGAAAGCAGAAATATTCCTTTTTGTCTGCCTTGCGTTATATTCCCTCATGTCCGTAAAGCAGTGTCAGACATCCAGGGATGGAGTCGTTAATACATTAAGAAACAAGCAAACAAACACAAAATAGATAAACAGAGGTGAGATGAGCATGGCCCACCTAGGATTGGGGGCGTTTGCGTTAACCAGTCCTAAGGAAGCCCATAGTCACAGATAATCATTAATAAACCATGAAGGCTGCCCAAGGATTAAGTGACTATTGCTGGGACACTGAGCACTACACCTAATATAGCACTTTGATTGCTAAGACTGAAGGTGGCATTAGGATGTGTTAATTATTACCTACTGGCTCATGTTCAGCAAAGCACAATCGGTGAGTTTGTACAATTATTTATGGTGTCAGTATAGAGGCCAATTGTGGATAGGTGTAAGATTTTTCTTTTTCTTGAGTGGATTGTAATAATCCTTAAGAACTCCAAGAAGCAGGGAAACGTTCCCACTGCCCCAAGTGCCATACCTGTTATATATAGCATAACATTCTCATTGCTTGCATATGGTGTTTGATTCTGCAGTGTTAAACTGAGGGTTGAATCCTACCAACTTTTCTGCTGGAGAAAGAGGAGGACGGGTCCTCTGTGAACAGAGACACACAAACACTTTTGGGATCATGGGACCTACATGAACAAAAGCCATGTGGGACAGGGACAGAAGGCAGGATCCAACCTTGAGAGTATTGAATGTCCCTTATTTCAGCAGCCCAAAGCTAAAGACATCTGTTGAGTCCCTGCTGGATGAGCTGTTCAGGATGAGTTGACCAGCCTCAGGCAACTAATTTTGGAAATACCATTGAAGAGCAGCAAAAATCCATATTTTGTTGGAATTTAAAAACATAGTTCAAAACAGTGTAGAAATTTTTCAGCTGAGCTTAGGAATGGCAAGTGTAGAATTTTTTTATTTTAAAGATGACTAAGTAAGGCTAATTTATGGTACTTTACCCTTCATGGGTGCTATTTGCATTTTATGCCTCAGGAACCAAAATGTCTTAGACAACATCTGGTCCTTACAATCTGCAGGTGAAATTTCGATCTTTAATATCACTATTACTAACATTACAATTCTTAATGTTTACTACTCTTCAATAGCTATTTTGAGAAAGTTACTTACTATATGACATATAACTGCTGTGAAATGTGAAGACTGTATTAGTATTCAACCTGTTTGGTTGAAAGTGCCTCATTCTCACTGAACGCATCCCACATGTTGTCTGAGGTGCAAACATTCCTTTTGCAGTTGCAGCAGACAAAACTGCCAAACCAATTTAGTATGCAAACATATACTAGCTGATGAAGTCACCATTTAGTTTCTGTGATTATAAACTGCTCCCCCCCCCTTTGGTACCAAAATCTTTCTTTTCCTGAATGGCTTCTGCAGGCTGTAGAATGTGGAAATAATAAGGGTCCCATTCTTGCTCAGAATTGCAGCCCATTTCCATAGCTCTAGCAAGCAGGGGTCATTTCGTAGAAAAAGAGCTAGCATAACTCATTAGCATATGCCACACCCCCTGACATCACTGGAAGTGTGTCCTCCCCACAGCTGGCAGCGACCTCCAGCGGGCACCAGCAGGGAGCTCCAGGCCCCGCCCTCCCGCACCTCACCCGGGGGGATGGCGTCCCCCCGCGTCCCCCCCCCAAATGACCCCTGCTAGCAAGGAACTTAAAAGTGAGCAGAAATTACTCTTTATTCTAATTATACTGGCAACAGCTTCCTAAGCTTTTATATGGTCAGGTAGAGCTTTGGTGTAAATGAAAACCAGAGCTTTGAAGTCATACTTCTAAGAAAGAAGCTGGCTTTAGTTGTATGCAAATGATGGTGGGTAGTCCTTCTTTGGGTGAGTACCATCACCTTTGTATGTGGAGATATCTCAGGGTATAATTTCTGTTCTACACTTTAACAACACATATGATGTTTGGGGAACAATATATATGGGAATTGTTTGTGTAAACTAATGGAAATTCTTACTTGAAAGTCAAAAATGTCAACCTTTTTTGCTTGAGACTATCTGGATAGGACTGTATTATGTACAAACTCTAATGTGTTTTTTGTTGTTGTTTTAATACACAGAAACGGCCAAATGGACTTCGAAACAGCTCCAGACATATGGACCCAGGTTTGTTTCATTCTTTTTCTTAGTTAGAACCTTGACTTGTTATAGAAGAATAACAACTTTGTTTTTGCTGTCAGACACAATTTATATAATCTCTTTCTTTGGAAGGACTCAAACTGCCGGTCACAAAACAGCTAAACCACAAGCCAGTATGCTAAGACATAAACTGGCATGCAGTTGATAATATAAATCTATGCTTGTCACAGTGGCATATGTTTAGCAAGTAACAATGTCCTACCAAGCTTAGTACTACAACAAAGAAAGTTGCATATACAGTATTGCATGTCATTTTCTGGATTTATAATGCCATCCTTTGCAGAGTTACACTTTTCTAAGACAATTGACTTCACTGGATTAGGAAGGATGTAACTCTGTTTAGGATGATACCGTTTGAGGCTAAAAATCCACTGCCATATAACATGGCCCAGCCAAAACCCTGCCCAGATGGCACCAGATGATTTTGTTGGCCAGTTTTGTGTTCAATCTGACTGTTGGTGCAGTGCCACCCATTGTATTGCTGGGAAAATCTTATCCTTAATTCTAGGTGTTTTGATGACAGAGCATTGATTAATATGATTGGGACCCTTTCACCTCTGTTATACCTGTTGGCACAAGTCCAAAACCTGCCTTAAAAGGATTGCGTGTCAGGCCTATAATCACTTTCCTCACCATGGTTTCAATGATACAGTCATATGACAAACTTGTGACTAACTGAGCTCCTGGCGTGTTTTTCTTTTCTGTTTTTATAAATGGTGTTCCTACAGCTTGTTTACATACCTAGAAGCCTCTGAGCTTGTTGACTAACCCTTCCTCACCTGATGCTGCTTAAACAAAGCAACTGGTTTTGGCTGTGGAGTCCAATCTTACAATGCACTTTGTTCTCAACTGCTGTTGATTTCCCTGGAGGATTAAGGCAGCAGCTATCTTGAAGTGTGAGTCCCTAGACAGAACAATCTGAAGCTTGTACATTCTTGATTTTTAATCATTCATTAGAGATAATTATTTGAATTCACAGATGGTGAGGACACAGATTCGCATGCAAATTGGTGTTTTTTTTGTTGTTATGATGACTGATTGTGTAGCCAGAACTATGCCATACGTTCCTGACCTGGATAGCCCGATCTCATCAGATCCTGGATGAGAGACTGCAAAGGAAGTCCAGGGTTTTTGTACCAGAGGAAGCCAATGGCAAACAACGTCTCTCGCCTTCAAAACCCCACAGGGTCACCATAAATCAGCTGCGACTTGACAGCAAAAAACAAAACCACCATCGTGACCAGGTCACATTTCCAAATCAGGAAACGGTGATTTATATAAGGAGAGTGGTGTTTTCTCCCACTGGCTGCTTTCCACCCCATAACTCTTCTACCTTTTCTTGTGATTGAAAAGCAGCAGCATGAAAACATGCTATGGGCCTACACAACTTAGTTTTTCCCTTTTTTGTGTGAGTAAACTCCCATGGTCTCTTCTCTTTAGTGTTTCCAAAAGCATTCATAATACTTTACAATAATTGTGTTGAGGTGGTGGTGAGGGGGTTGGTCTTTTTATGAGAACTTTCTCACAGTTAATTACAAAGGATTCCGATTCAAGACAAGTTATGAGTTGTTAAGTGTTTCTTAATGTAGCAACTTGAGAAGGATTTGCATTCAGCTGCAAAATAAGAAAGCGGCTTAGATGACTGCGAAATTTTTCATATCTGCAGGAAAGAAATGAATGATTACGTTGCCGCTCTTTTGCATTGCCACTGTCTTTATTGTTCACTTACTTGGGAGGGTGAAACTCAAATGGTTAAAATACCTTAACTAATCATTCCCTTAAGAAATAAAGTAAAACGTCAGTTTATGGAACATCTTGGAAGAAAAATAGCTGACGTTGCCTTACTGTGCTTTTGAATGTTCATTTTCAAAACTGAGGTGGGAGAGTAATTTTTAGATGGGACATCCAGTAAAGCTAAGGTAAAGGCTTAACTACAGGCCAAACTAGGCTCTGCATTTTTTTAAAGGTTCCATGGACTTGACTCTATCTTTCTGAAGCCACATAGCACCAGACTGTATGTTTTAAAATAAAGGCCAGCCTGATGGCACTGGGAACCGCAGTGCAAGGGGGAGGGTGGGGCTCTTGCTTTTCCTTCCACACATTTTCCTAACTAATGCATGTGGAGCAGCCAAAAAGGGGGAAATAACCCCCCCCGCTCTGTTTTGGTTGGTAAAATGGCTGAGAGGGGAAAGCAAGAACCCCTCCCCCCATGTCACAGTTTTCAGCTCAGTTGGGTTCGTCTTTATTTTTCAACAGACTTTAAAAATGTAACATCTAATCTGGCCCTATGTACTGTATTTTTCCTGAAGTACATCTCTGGTTGGGTCACTAATGTGGTCTAGGTACATGGGGTCCCTCATTTGGATGTGTGTACATATACAGCCCTCAACAGGGCAAGTAGCAGCTCCCTTGGGCCGCTTCAGGTCAGGAAAACAGGATGGAGGTGCCCAAGTCCCCTTTCTCTGGTTGCCACAATTCTGATCCAGATTGGGCTGCCACATGCCTGGGAACTATGGAGCTCCCAGAACAAATGTGTGACCTGTACATAATGTGCAAATGGGCTCCAGTATAGATCTTTTGTGCTGGCTTCTAAGTTTGTTTCTACATCAGACCTGCCTTCTAGCAAGGACATACACAATTTCTTTTTTGAGGTTTGGTTACTTTTGATTTTTAAAATGTGTTCATTTCTTCTTCTTTTTGTTATTACCCTCTCCTTTTTGTTGTTATTTTAATTATCATTGGTTCTCTACTGTGGCTGGATCTGAAGCTCGACCAGGCTGTAGCTGGATCTGAAGCTGCTGCCCTAGCTAGAAAGAGTGCTGGTCATCCCTCCTGTCCCTTGTGGTTCTTCAGACCCTCTTTCTCACATCTCCATGACACTGTGCCTCAACGCACTCTGGGAAGTATCGTCCCAGGGTGCCTGAAAATAAATGTAGAACCCTCGTACTACATTTCCCAGGGTACACTCAGGCACCAGAAGGAGCAGGGATACGATTTGCTATTTGCCAACCTTCTATCTTACCTGGCTGGGCCAGCAGCAGTGGCTCCGGCCCAAGCCCTAGCCATCTCAGTATAGGGCAGAGGTAGGAAACTTGGCATGTCAGTTGCATTATCTCCTCCCCCCTCTGGCCTCTGTGAACAGAGGAATGGAAGCCAGAATAACAAAAAAGATCTGTATATTAAACAGTATTGCTGGTTTTTTTAAAAATGTGGATTTATTATAAATACACTAATGAAAGTGCAGTTTCCCCAACTACATTCTGTATAGCAAATGCAAAAGCTGGGGCAAAAACATGTAGGACTGGGTTGGGAGAGAATGAAAGGAACAGAAGAGGTTGAATGTACCTTTAATTTTAGTCTAAAAAGGACCTTAAAGCCTTTGAAAGGAGGTCGCTGAGGAGCTTACGGCTGGCGGCCACCAGCAGGAGAACTAAAAGAAACCCTGAGGGTTTTCAGAGGAAGTGCTAAGAAGCGAAATCACATCTGCTCTTCGCACTTCTAGGTAATGTGCAAAGAGGAATCTGTCAAGGTTCCCTAGTGGGGGTATGTACAGACTGCATCCCCTTCTGGAGCGCCTGATGAGTCTTTCTGTGAGGAAAATGTCGGGGATTCTCCTTGGCATGAAACAACAACAGCAGATGGAGGGAGCCAAACCAGTGCAATCGAGATCAGATGGCAGACATTTTCTTTTTTTCTCTGTGAATAGCAGCTGTGGAGGAAGGTGCCATTTTTTTCTCCTCAAGAGGAGGAGCTGATGTCTGACTTGCTGGAGAAAACTGATCTTTCAACCGCTTGTCTGGTTTGGCACAAAATGAGTTTCTGCTTGTTTTGCATGGGAATAGCTAGGAGGCACCCTTCTGTGGCTTCCTTACATTTTTGTTGTGCATATGTTACGGTTTGGGTAGGGTTAGTTGTGATCTGCTGACTTGACTCAAAAGCATATGGTTAAGATTTCTTCATTAGTTTCCTCATTAGTTTACTAGAAACCTCAAAACAATGGCTCGTTTGTTAAGTCTAGTGTTCGCAGACATAAGAACATTAGTAGCATTGTTCTCAGGAATCGTTGCAGATGAACAGAGAAATTTGTTCTGTGGCAATGTGCTGTGAGTCTGCTTTCTGAGTATTAAAATATCTGAGCTCATACATATATACAGTCTTCTATGCTGGGCCCCTAGTGACTATTGTTGGATTGGATAAAACATAGATTGTAGCTTTTACCAGGTAGAGGGGCTGCTAGTGAACTGCTAAATTTAACTTAAATATATTGCAAGCATAAGGTTCTGAATTCTGCATCTAAATTTGGCCCTGTTACATTTTGCCAGGTGAAGAACGGTGTGCAAGGGCACTGTTTGGACACTTTCATTAACAGAAAATGGTCCTTCAGGGAAGGCCAAACCCCAGCAGCCTCCCACTCTCCAGATATCCCCAAAGGGCTTTGGTTTCCAAATAAAGGGCTTGGCTTCCATTGCTTGCTCTTGTCATCAGTTAGGGTTAGATTATATGAAACATGGGGGACCTGGCTGTGTGAGCTTGCAACATGATTTATGACAGCAGATCAGGAAGTTTTGGGAAGGAGCGTAGACAGTTGCTCTGTGGTAGCCTATTTATTTATTACATTCATTTATACCATACCTTTCTCTCTTGGGGACTCAAAGTGGCTTACATCATTCTCCTTTACCTCATTCAATCTAAGGGTTGGCTTCCTTCTGAATAAATATGAAATATTGTTAATACGTCTAGCTACGTGTGTACCTTCCTAACCATCAGCTTAGCCTGTTTTGTATTTTTTTGTCTAATGCCAAAGGGTTATATATAAACATAAACTTCACAGCCACCATTGTCTTTGTGCCTCATGCACTTTAATTCCCTCAACATTTTCATAGTTGGATTGTCTCATAAGGGTTGCAAAATATGACCACCCATAACTATTCTGAGCCCTTCAGTTTACCAGTTATCTTTTGCTTCTC